AAAAAGTAACCCAATTTACATCTCAGAACCCCAAAAGATTTAATAGGTAATACCAGGTACCTCTGGAATAAGAAGGTATGTACTGTGATGAAGCTGAGATTAAAAATAGGAGGATTAGGGACCAGCTGGCAGTGTGATGATTAAAGCAGCTGCATCCCTCATGGCTGACTCAGTGGTCTGAGTCACAGACCCAGCAGCTTGGAAAACATCCCAAGTACGTGTGTGTGTGCCCAAAATCTTGAAAGGAGGAGAAATGGTGAAGGGATTACAGTATGGCCATTTCCCCATAGGAAAAGTTTTCTCACTCCCTCCTTGGCCCCATCTCGAGACTGGAGAAACAAAACAGGCACAGCTGAAGAAGTGGGTATAGTACTGAAGTTAGAGGGATTAATTAGACATTTATATGTAGAATGTCGGGACCCTAGCCCTAGCCCTTTCTGCCCACTTCTATACCCTTCCACTGTTAACCCAGGTAGGAGATGGAAGATCCTCTCTGAAGGGGCCAGCAAGTGGCGTGGTGGCTAAAAGTGCTGGACTCTCACATGGTCAACCGCGGTTCATGTCCAGGACCTGGTGGTTTGCTTTCTCACTTTCTTGTTCTCTCACTCTGTCTCTTTCTGGCCAAATTAAAATAAGTAAACAAATAAATAAAGTTAAAAATGAAAAGATTCCTCTCTGAAGAAAATGACCAAATGTGTCAGGCACTGTTCTAGGCTTGAGTGATAGTCACCAATTAAAACAAGGAACTCTGTGGAGTTTTCATTCTGCCAAATATCTAGAAAAATTGACAGAGATTTCCTAATAACATGGCCTAGCCAGATCATCCAACAGTAAAGAAATCTCCATTCTCCTCTTGGGTTCTTGGGCACACACGCTCACATACTCGGTGTGAGTTTGAGTCACCGGGTCCAGGACCCAAACCACCGTCGACTACATTGGAGTCCAACAACATAGCCATTATGCCAACTGCTGGTTCCAAAAAATTAAACAAAACTTAAAAAAAAAAAAAAAAGAAAGAAAGAAAGAAAAAAGAAAAAGAAAAAAGGGGATAGATAGAAAATCCTAAAGGTTTCCAGGTCTGACACAGAAGAACAAGAATTGGAATGACATTAGTTTTCTTTCCTTCTTCCCAGACCTAGTGGCTTGCTTTCTCACTTTCTCTGTTTCTCTCTTGCCAAATTAAAATAAATAAAGATGGAACCAGCAGATGGCGTAATGGCTATGTCACTGGACTCTCATGTAGTTAAATTATTCTTTTTTTAAATAATTTTTTTATTTAACTTTATTTATTTATTTGTTTGTTTTGGAGAGGTTTTTACTATAGGGCACTTGTGCTCACCAGAAAGACAGAGAGACAGAAAGTGAGAAATCACCCACCAGGGAGGATGGCCATGCCGCAATCCCTTCTCCTCCATTCTCCTCTCGGGATCTTGGGCACACACACACATGCACCAAGCATGAGTCCAAGCCACTGGGTCCGAGACTCAAACCGCGTTCGACTATATGGGAGTCCAGCGACATAGCCATTATGCTAACTGCTGATCCCCCTCTTTCTTTCTTAACAGTAACTTAATTTTTGGGAACAGCAGTTGGCATAATGGCTATGTCGCTGGACTCCCATATAGTCGAACGCGGTTTGAGTCTCGGACCCAGTGGCTTGGACTCATGCTTGGTGCATGTGTGTGTGTGCCCAAGATCCCGAGATGAGCATTGAGGAGAATGGATTGTGTTGTGGCCATGCCCTCTGGGGGGTGATTTCTCACTTTCTGTTTCTCTGTCTCTCTCTGTCTTTCTGGCGAGCACATGCACCCTACAGGAAAAACCTCTCAAAAAAAAAAAAAAAAAGAGTAACTTAATTTTTCATTTGTCACTTATTTATGTTCTAGAGTATGTGCACTTGCTGAAGACAGAGATGGGGGTGGGGTATGGACAGTGAGAAAGCACCCCTTGGGAGGATGGCTACACTACAATTTGCCTCTCTTTCATTCTCCTCTTGAGATTTTTGGGCACAGATGCACACACCCAAGTCAAAGGGTCCAGGACTTGAACTGAGCAGTTGGCCATGTGGGATCTAGCCACCTTAATCTCCATGCCACCTGCTGGCCCATAAGCTGTATAACTATTTCATAAATATTACAATGCAGTAATAACAGAGATTAGAAAGTACACAACATGGGACCAGCAGATGGTGTAATAGTTATGTTGTTGGACCACATAGCCAATTGCTGTTCTGTGCAAGTGCTGGATCTGGCAGCTTGAAACACACCAGGCATGTGTGTGTGCATGCCCAAAATCCCTAGAGGAGAATGGAGGAGAAGGGATTGCAGCATAGCCAGCCCCCCTAGGGTTACTTTCTCGCTTTCTGTCTCTGTGGTGAGCACAAACACCCTATAGCAAAAATCTCTCTATAAATATAAACAAAATAAAAACAAAAAAAGTGCACAATAAATACAATGTGCTTGAATCACTCTGAAACCATTTCCTCCCATCCTTGGTCCATGGAAAAATTGTATTCCACAAAAACTGGTCCATAGTGCCACAAAAGTTCGGGACCGCTAGCCTAGTAGTTAAGGGAGTTGATACCACACGGCTGACCTTGGTTGGAATCCTGGTCCTGGTGGCTGAATAACACACTAGGCATGTGTTCTTACATGCCCAAGATCCTGACAGGAGGCAGAAATTGAGGAGTGGGAGTAAGATTGTAGCATGACTATACTCCACTGCAGGGTGCCTTCTCTCTTTCCATTTCTCTCTAGTGAGCACATGTGCCCTCTGGAAATTAAAACAATATATATATAGTGTACTGTTTCTGCCAGGCCACTATTCTTTTTTTCAGGGATGCTTTTTGGTATAAGGCACATGTGCTCGCCAGAAAGACAGAGAGACAGAAAATAAGAAATCACTCCCCAAGAGGGATGGCCATGCCGCAATCCCTTCTCCTCCATTCTCCTCTCAGGATCTTGGGCACACACACACATGTGCCTGGCGTTAGTTTAAGCCACCGGGTCCGGAGCTCGAACCGCAGTCGACCATATGGAAGTTGAGCAACATAGCCATTACACATGGAAGTTGAGCAACATAGCCATTACACCAACTGCTAGTCCCTCTCAGGACAGGGACAGCAGGTCAGTTCTGTCACAACTCGGGCACCCAGCACAGGGTTACACAGAGCGGGAACTGGGAGCTCGATGAGCAAAGGCCGATGTGTGCTGCAGCGGGGGTGCGGGGACATGGAGCCCAGGGCTGGGGCCTAGGCTTTGGTCCTACCACAGATCTAGCACTGACTCCTGGGCCGAGCAGTGAAATAAGCCATTTCCCTTT